GAGACTTAAGGCATACATGTTACTGTGATTTCATTTGACATAATCCAGGAAAGGATGCACTAGTTTTAACTGCAAATACATTATCACCCATCATCAACCCTGGACCTTCAGATTCAGAGCAAAGTCCCCAGAATAGCCAACTGAAAACTTCAGTCTTCAAAGAAAGCATCATGGCATCCAGTGCAGCTTGAATTCCTTATTCTCTCAGCAGCCTTTTGACTGACAAAAATGCACCACCGTTTTGTCTGGATTAAATTTCCATTTGTTTGTCCTCAGCTAGTCCATTTCTGACATCAGACATTGACTTGGAAATGTCTGATGGAGTGAGCTAGGTAGGACCAGCATTTTGTGGGCATCAAATCCCCACCTCCTAATAATGTCTCTTGGTGCTTTTGCATACGCGTTAAAAGGCAGGGGGGACAAGCTGGAACTTTCAGCGTATCAGAGCCATGTAAGGACATATAAGAGATTCCCTTGATAGCATCTTATGAAACCATGTCCCCCCAAACAGCCATAAGAAACAGCCTCTTTTAGTTCTTCAAGTTCCATTCCAACTAGACAACCAAAAGCCACTGAGATTCCAGCAGAACCAACCAGAACATATTCTTCCTATCCTCTGGAGCAGTGGTGGGATTTTAAAAAAATTACTACTGGTTCTGTGGCTGTGACTTGGTGAGTGCGGCAGAGGAAGAATGCTGCAAGATCTCCATTCCCACCCCACTTCAGGGGGAAGGTTACTGCAAAATCCCATTCCCTCCCCACCAGAGGTGGTATCCAGCAGGTTCTGACCAGTTCTGGAGAACCAGTAGCAGAAATTTTGAGCAGTTTGGAGAACTGGCCAATGCCACCTCTGACTGGCCCTGCCCCATCTATTCTCTGCCTCCCATTGAGTCCCAGCTGATTGGCTGGGTCTTCTTTGGTTGCCCTGAACAGGAGAATGGAGCTGGAAAGCAGGTTAGTGGAGTGGGGAGGGAATGGGGATTTTGCAGTATCCTTCCTCTGCCATGCCCACCAAGCCACACCTACCAAGCCACGTCACCAAGCCATGCCATGCCACTACCAAGCCACGCCTACAGAACCGGTAGTAAAAAAAAATTGAATCCCATCACTGCTCCCCACCCCACTAACCTGCTTTCCAGCTCTGTCCTCCTGCGCAAGGCAACAAAAGATGACCCAGCCAATCAGCTGGGACTTGATGGGAGGCAGAGAAGAGATGGGGTTGGCAGGGCCAGTCAGAGGTGGTATTTGCCGGTTCTCCGAACTACTCAAAATTTCTGCTACCGGTTCTCCAGAACTGGTCAGAACCTGCTGAATACCACCTCTGCTCTGGAGAGATGCAAAACTGTCTTTGTTCCTTAACTAAGCTTAAAGCCAAGTGGAAACAGATCCTGATATTATTTGTTTTTTTAATTTTTATACTGCCCAGCTTACTGTTGAGCAAGTCTGGCTGGCCAGTCATGCAAAATGGTTTTGCACAGCACTGAATCGCAAACTTCCAAGATTAGCAGGTTAAATGTATTGCAGGTCAGGAGGTTCTTAATTGACTTGGAAAAAAAAATATTTAAATAGCCTTTTTGTTGTTGTTGTTAAATAGAATTTAGTAAGGATAGCACATGATGAAGTGGGGGAAGTTTTAACTGTTATGTGGCTGTTGTGGTTAGCCAGCAGCAGGTATGGATGGCTGAGGAGAGCGAGGACTCTGATGAGGGGCCAGGACCATCAGGGAGTGGACTGCGAGATTGTGGGAGCTGGCAGCAGTGACAAGGAGGTTCCCGAGGAGCCTATGCCAAGTGCACATGCACGAAGAATCACTTGGAGGAAAGAACAATTACAGCAGCACAGGCAACTCGGGAGTAAGGCTGCAAGGTAATGGCCCCTCCCTCAAGGGGATAAAAGCCAGGTTTGGAAAAGTGTTCTTTGCAGACAGCAAAGAAGCTCTGAAGCTCAACTTGTGGACATCTTAGTTCGTGTTTGGAGAATCTTGTTAATTAGTTCTTATCTCTGGGCTTTTGGCAGCATTGCTGAATACCTTGGCAAGGCTCTTTCTTGTCGGAGCTAATTAGTGGAAAGCAGCCTTTTATCTGTAAAGGAACAGAATTTGTTATTAAACCTTAAAAGGTGGGGGGTGCTGCCTTTGTCTGTGTTTGCTCTTTTGGGACCCAGTCGGGTCAGAACAATGGCTAGTAGAAAATGGATACAAGTCTGGGTTGAATTTGTTCTTGGAAATAGCATGTGGGTTCAGACATTGTGCTAAGCCTGAGTTAGCCATGTTACCTAACTTCCAAACTGTTGGGTTTTGCTACACCATATTCCCTAGTTTATAAAATAGAAACACTAAGTTCATCAACTAGGATAATCCAGATAAAATCAGCTGCCTTGTGGATCACACACAAAGTTTGAATAATCCTGTTTGCAAAGTTTTGCATTCAATATATTTTGAATTCAGAAAAGGAGAACGCCGTTGCCATGTTCTGTAAATTCAACCACTGAGATTAATTTCCAAGTACATTTTCTGAATGCTGTCACTTAATTCATTGCACTTGCACCTTTACCAAGGCAAATATTTCTACTTATACCAAGGAAATCCTTTTAAAAAGGATGAAAGAATTCCTTTAAGTGACATAGTGTATATATTCCAGAACAAACCACCTTAGAGATGCATACTCTATACAAGAAAGGATGCTACCAGTCAATTTGTATAAATAGTGGTTTTAAAATAATTTAATTTTGAAGATATTGTCCCATTAATTCAAATGTTTCCTGCTATACTCAGCCTTTAAAAGCCCCTGAAGGTAGGCAGAAGATATTGCCATATCCCGATATTTCCTGTTCCTACTTTCCATCGGTTTCCAACCTCCTTAACTGTTCTAACTGCCTGATCCAGCACTGCCCAATGGCACTACAGGGAAGTAACAGCAGCTGAGGAGGTTGGAGATTTTACTAGATGAGTTTGTGTCTAAGAATAAGCAGAACATTCCTGCATCCTACTTAATCACCTTGTCACTAAAATGGAAGCAAAAACACAGGACTCAATAGTAAGTATCTTCTCTGGGGGAGAGTGAGAAAGGGAAGAGAAGGAGAGGGTGGAGGATGAACAGATTAACATATGAACAGAGTTGGAAGAGACCTTGTGGATCATCTAGTCCAGCTTCGCCCCAACCCTATACCATTTTTGACAGATGGCAATCCAGGAGGAGGAGGAGGAGGAGGACTAACTAATAGTTCTCTGCAGAGAACTATTTAGAACTGTATTATCTAACAGATTCATTGTACAGGCAGTCCTCAACTTATGACCACTATTGAGCCCAAAATTTATGTTGTTAAGTGAGACATTTATTAAGTAGTTTTGCCCCATTTTATGACCCTTCTTCTCACAGTTGTTAAGTGAATTATTGCAGTTGATAAGTTAGTAACATGTTTGTTAAGTAAATCTGGCTTCCCCACTGACTTTGCTTGTCAGAAGGTCATAAAAGCTGAGCGCATGACCTTGGCATACAACAATGGTCATAAATATGAAACAGTTGCCAGGCATTTGAATTTTGATCACATGATCATGAGGATCCTCCAAAGGTTGTAACTGTGAAAAACGGTCATAAGACACATTTTTCAGTGCCTTGTAACTTTGAATGGTCACTAGAGGGACTGTTGTAAGACGAGGACTACCTCTATATCATAGGTCAGATGCCATGCTAACAAGAAGAGAAAAAAAGTAAAATATAGTTATAGCTAAAGCTACCCAGTGTTTATTTCTTATTTGTCGATTTGTTTCAGTATATATCACTTACCCGAATATGATTGCACTGAGACCTGCAGAATTTCCTTGTTGACATGCACGGGACATAATTGCACCGTTGGTGCATTAAATGCAAGCATAATCATTCCTTGTTAAATTGGGGCAACAGTGACAAAGGACAAAACTCTGTAATTGTTGGTGCTAAGACAAAGATGTGAGAATAGGACTGCAGCCTTCATGTGATTTTAGACTTGCATGAAGAGATGTATAGACTGATTCAGAAGTCGGAATTGTGAAAGTTCAATTGCTAAATTAAAGTTCAGGAAAATATAAATTAAACCTTCTCTTTAAAAAAAAAAATCACAGTCGCTTAACAGAGCAAAACCTGTAGCCAAGAGTTGGGTGAACATTCCCAGGTCTTAAGATCATCTGGCTTAATATTATCTAGTGTTCCAGCCCTTCTCTGGAATTTTTTCCCTGGTGTCAGGAAATCTTTAAAAAGAGAGAAACTGGCTGGATTGCTACCATTGTTAGACCAGTCCAGAGCCCTCTAGAAGTTGCATTTTCTTTTCTTTTCCTACTTTGTTGGAAATATTCCTTGATTTAAAAAAACAAAAACAAAAAGCTGGAATGTCCATGTGGGTGTGCCCTTTCTTTCCTGACCAAGAAATTTAGAGGTTAGGTTGACACATAGCACTAAGCCAACTTTCATTATACTTTTTTTTTAACAAGCTATAATAGATTTAGTCTGCAAATAAGGCAAAGCCACAATTGAAGAATGGACATTAAAAGTTAGTGCCAGGCTGAACAGAGAGAAGAATGCTCCACTGCTGTCTTCCCAAATATTATGTTTTTTAAAATGTTATTTAGAGCATTAATTAAGAATGCTTCCAGATTTTGCTTAATGAGGTGACCTTCTCATCTCCTTGGTTGAGAATGGATAATTAGCCTTCATATACTAGTGAAAATTGTTCATCACCCTTTCATCCAAATATGTCCCATTTCCTTTCCACCTCAAAAATCTCAGCAACAGGAGCATCTAGGCCTATTTAGCTACTAGAATGTGATTGTATCACGTGCCACTTCCATAAACATAAAGGAAAAACATTGTCTTACCCAAAGGTGCTTTTTCAAGAGGCAACTGAACTTCTCTGAAGTGAAACATCTTCAGAGAAAAATGAAGAAGTCCAGTAGTGCCTCTTGAAAAAGCACTTTGGGCAACCATGACCTGCATGACTGGGAATCTCCATAGACCACATTGTCTTACCTGCACATAACTTCATGGGTGAGTAGAACTCTGCACATTTCCGGGTTCTTGTTTTGTCCTTCATAGGCGATGGGCTATAAAGAAGTGGAGAATATGGGTCAGTCAGTTTAAAACAAATAAGACAATCTTTTCTCTGCTATGATTTCTCAATCTGAAAATGAAAACAAGACAAGGAATTGCAAATCTTCAAGAATAACCTTCTCTAACTGTGTCCTCTCCATTTACAGACTGGTATCCTGGGAAATGCAATTCCAACGTGATCAAAAAATAGTACTAAAGCATCGGTTTGCATATTGCAAGGTAAGTCTCCAAGCCTTCCTTGGAGACTAAGGCTTGGAGACTTAGAAGATACAAGCTATCCCTGATAAGACTATTTCTCTGAATAATAAGAAACACAGATAGGCTGAGGTTAAAGGATGGGAGCAGAAATCTCACCTGTTTTGTGACTGAATCAATGAGTCTGACAAATAGATCTTGTTCAGTCCTGACACCTACAGGGAACAGAAAGAAAACAGGATGAGAGAAGGGTAAACACGGGACTCTTTCAAAGGATTTGCTCCCCACTCTAGGCTGCCTTCTCTCGCAGGTAAACTGTTTAGGGAAAGAGACACCAAAGCACATGATGCTAAAACATATAAACATTAGCATTCATATACAGACACCTTCATCACTCATCACGTCTACCTTCCTCACTCTGGACCATCCATATTCAGTAAATGATAATTATAACTTCTAGGAAATATAATTAAGACTAGGAATAGTTACTATATATCAATAACTCATTCTTTTCTCACATTCTTCATCAGCCCACATTTCTCTCCACTCCCATTTTCCCTCTCCCATTTTTCCATGGTGACCTCTAAGCAGGACTTTGGGGCAAATGTGTCATTCAGCAAAATAAATCAGAAGGCCTTCAAAACCTAGGCAGATTGCCTTAGCATGTTTTAATAAATGAATGACATCATTGGGTCCGAACTAAGTCATATTTGGAATAGTTAAAAATAAAATTGCCCTTAAATCAAGTTGGACTGCCTTTATGAAGCATTATTAGTAATTACCAACATGCTTTTTCCAAAAGTTGTTTATTTGTTCATTCCCAGTCTAGAAAACAGCTTCAGAATTCCCAAGACGCCTCTCATCTCAATATTAACCTGAGACAGTCCACTTAATTTCTAAGATCAACCAAAGTTGCCTAGGTGCTGCTGCTTCAAATAGACGCATTACAGTCAATGGAGCTTAGGTTATTCACCACCAACTTAAGCCTCATTGATTCCATTGGCTCCAGTCCAAGTATTACATCTGGATCTAATCTTTTGCCATTCCTGGTACAAAATCATCTAGTCCCACATCTGAAATTATCAAACTGAACCATGACTAATAGATTCACTATCCATTCTTTCTCTGCTTACATTCACAGACAGCACTAACCCAAAACTATGATTTGTTGTGATTCTTTGTCACTTAGTGTAAATCCAGTTGTTGTGTTTTGTAAGCCATAGTTTAGGGATCAGTGTGTAATTGGAACTGAAATGTATTTAATAAATCATACTTTAAAAGGGGCATATAGGCAGCTAGGTGTGATGTGTGAACTCTGTTACTCTCCCACAATGAGAGATGCGTAGAGTGCTTATGCACTTGATCTGTTGAGTACTTATTGGGAAGGAAGTCTAATCATATCCCACCACACATTAATCAATTTCAGAAGGGAATTGAAGGTTCTGATAGGTGCAAGACCATGTGATGCTCCTCAAACATACCCAAAGAATATAAAATACAGAGGGCATCCAGAAAATAAAAATAAAAAGTCATCCAAATTTGTGACCAGGGTTCAGAAGAAATGATGAACCATGAGTTGAATCTTCATGAAAAGCAGTTGCTTTCCTCCCTCTGAATATAACAAGTGTGGTCAGGAAGGACAACAACTTCCAATAAAATGCTGTGGGGGGGAGGCTGAAGGTCAGCCTCCCAGGCTGCAAATTTCTAAAAGTGGTAACCGTGGAATATCTTTCTTAGAAAAAATGAAAGCGTGAGCAATCTTTTCTTGTTCTTTACTGGATAGTAAATGTTACGCTCTCCACCCCCACCCCCAAAAAGGTAATGAAAAAATATCTTATTATAAAAAGGAAACTACAGTCTGGGTTTCTACAATAAAACATGTTGCTGATGCCAGTAACATCAAAATTGAAATTGACTTGCAATGCAACTTTGGGTGATTTTATGCATGTATTGGCTTTTGCAAGTCGTTTGAGGTAGGCATAATGCCAGACAACCAATTCCAATACCTGAGTAAGTGTTCCTCCACCCTTTATAGCTTTCCCAAACCCACATTCCAAAAGTGGTTCAAAACTATAGCATAAAACCCTGGGGAGATATCAAAACTACATATGCATTGCACAATTATTGACATTCATACAAAGTGGTATACACACATATTCACATTTGTCACCACCTGATGGAGAGTGACTCCACCCTTTAAAAAAAAAAAAAAAACAGTGTTCCATATTGCCTTGTCTAAGAGCAGCAGAATCAGTCAGTAACCCTTCCCCCAATATAATACTTTCCAAGGTGTATTGGAAGATACCTTGAGGACTATTGTAACACCCTTCCCATCTTGGCCAGCCAGGATAGTGCCCATACTGATTACAGGTGATAGTACCTTCAACTAAATATACCAATAATCTTTAGTATATAAGCCCCCTTCTCTGGTCATAAAAGATAAGCAAGGTTTGAACTGGTTAAATGTTTGGGTGGAAGATAAGCAGAAAAGTCCAGGAGACTTAAACTGAGAAGTTTTTTAAAAAAAGGAAATTTCCAGAGAAAGGCAACAGCAAAGAATTTCCATGTTACTACCAAGAAAACTATACAACCTGACCATGAAGAGAAATAGGTGTGTCCATGACCTCACCAGGAGTTGGTGGGTAGGTTTACCTTTTTCACACCTGGAGGGCACCAGGCTAACCCTGATAATGACCTTACTCCATCATGGCCCTTTGTTGAGGGTGAGCTGGGGAAGGACTTACCATTGCTGTACAGAAGCTGCAATTTGTAGTGTGTCCCATTATTTGTCTTTTCGTTGCCTTGTTCCTGAGAAGTTAAAAAAAGGAAAAATATTTCAGGAAGAATCTGGCTTCACACATTACGCTAAGCCCTTAATGGCAGCTTATTGACTAAATCATTAGACTGAGTTGCCACTACTAGAACCTGTGGCTTATAAATCACAGTGGCTAGCTTGGCACAACATAACGAACCAGATCTAAACAAGCTACTTTATAGTTACTGGGATGTGTGAACCCAGCTAGAGTTTTTCCAGAAATAAGCTCGGTTCATGAGTCCTTGGAATCAACAGAATTAACAGCAGAATCGCCATCTTTCCTGTTGCTTGTTCAGAAGTCCCAATAACTATTTGTCAATGCTTACCCATGCAAAACTGAATTGTGGTTTATTCAATTAATCCAATTTTCTCAGCTCCTGCAGCTGAATGTTGAATTATAAGCTAGACATACCACACATGAGTTGAAGGTTTAATGTGAACTACAAGTCGCAGCCTCTAAACTCAATAGAAGCTTAGTAACAAGGCAACCTGGGTTTAAGGAAATTCCTGTTCAACACTAATTAGTTAACTCATGCAAATTAATATAGTTTGCTGAAAAGTTGGCTCTATTGGGCCCTGCTCCCAAACAACCCTACATAGCATTGTCCCAATTTAAGAGTCACAGGAGTGAGAATTCCTGAACAGGAGGCAGATTTTCCAACTAGCATTACTTTTTACTGTCAATAGCCTTTCCCCAAGGGCTGCATATGCCAGCTTCACGCTAGTGCCAGGCAAGGGGAGATATTTTGTAGTTTGGGTCCTGCTTAAATAACCAGGAAGGGAAGCGGCGGCCTGTTGGGCTAGGTCTATTTCCTTCTGAAACTTTACAGAACTGGACACAATCTTTCAGAGCAAAGCAGTGTCTGTTTTTTAAAAATATATGGAAGCATTCGAGCAAAGGAAAAAAAACTGAAAATAGGGCAGCTGAACTTCATTCTTTCTGGACTCCCAATCAAATAATAAATATCCGTTTAGAAATTAATTCAGGTACCTGAACTGCAAAGCCCGAACAGGGGAAAGTCACAAGTCTCCAGATGTACATTCTGACCAGTTGCATCGCCCCTTCTCCCTCCCACCACAAAGAGAAGCTAAATAGAGACTGCAATCTTAAATTTCCCCCCTATTCTCTCGACAAGACCTGTCCCTGATTTGTAAGGAGGGACAACCTGGCTTTATGCTGGCCTTGAACTGAGGGTGACATTGACTAGCACTCCAGGTGTGCTCTCCACCTGTAGCGCAACGAGGGGGAGGGGAGTTCTCCTTTTAGTTTTGAAATCAAACTCAGCTGCTTTCCCATCAATTCGGATTCGGGTAGGTCCAGATTCGCGCGGAATCTTGTCCTAGTGGGGGAATGAGGCAGGGGCAGCTTTTAAACTCCAGACTGAAATTGACCGAACCGGGCCGAGTCATTAGTTTGCAAAGGAAACCCAGAGAGAGAGAAGGAAAATGAGCATTATTATTCGGGAGCCCAGCTTTCTAGGATCAATTTTTTAAAAAGAACGAGAAAGAAGCTGGCTGGATGCCATTGTAATTTTGGTTTTCTCTGTCGCTACGGATCGTGTTGCACTCATTGCGGCAAGAAAGGCGGATTATGCGAGACGACAGGAGACCGGAAAAATAGACCCTTACTTTGTCATTTTCCACGAAGTCCACGAACGCCGTCCGCTCGATTTCCACGGGCTGACCCTGGCGGTCGTAGAGAGCCAAGACGAAGTGGAAGAAGTTGGATTTCCTCAAGTTGGAGGGAGGCTGTTTTTCGAAGTGGGCTCGAGACAACGCCACGCCGCTGGGGAGGAAGGGAGAGGGCAGCCGGGGTTAAGGCAGAAGGAGAGAAAGAACTAAACGCGGCCCGCAGCCAGCCTATTTCCTCGCCTTGGGTCACGGTACCGCCCAAAGCCACGCGCGGACAAGGGCAGCTGCCTCTCGGGTACGCAAAACAGGTTCCAGCGTTTTAAGCACACTTACCTGCACTAAAGACCCCGAGGCAATTTCCCACGCACCTGGCTTTGGATTAGCGTGTTTGGGATTAGCCGGGACGGGAATTTAGCCAGCTGTGGCCGAGGAGAAACTACCTTTCCTGGATGAACGAGTCGTGTGAACCCAGCCAAGGCGCTCTGTTAAATCGTACCCTGGCTTGGCGCGAGCACAGACCGTGTAGGTCTTTTTCAATATGGATTGGGGCTGCAGTCGCCTTCATTTTTGACCGGCCAGTCGCCTCACCGGGTCCATAAACAGTGGCTGAGTTCACACAGCACGCAAAGCCGGATACTAATCCTATCGGGTTTTCCGCGTTCTCTAAGAAGCGAGTCCTTTTATATTTGGGGTCTTGGGCAGGGCCGCCTTAACAGCATTATGGCCCCCGGCAAAGCAGGGTACTGGGGCCCCTACGACAACTACTCACAGAAATAAAAATGCAAATAAATGGTCGATAAAATCAAACATATGTTTTCAGGTTAGTATTAATAAAAAATGCAGTATAATGTAATATATGTTGGTGTATTTATATGATACAAGGTGCATGGAAGGGTTAACATACACAGATTAGTATGGGGCCCCTATGCTCGTGGAGCCCAGGGGCAAGTGCCCATCAGCCTCATGCGTTAAGACAGCCCTGGTCTTGGGTGGGGGGGAAAGTTACTCCAGAGAGGAGAATCCGTTTTATTACACTCCGTTCACACGATATGTTAAGCCTTAAGCACGCATTTTATCCAACAAATCTCAGATAGCTAGGACGTCGGATAAGGGGATCCGTATAAACCACGTTTCAGAAACCGAAGTGCTGTGTTCCAGCAACAACCCTATACTCTCCGCCGCCCCAAAACAATCCCTCGAACCATTTTAGGATTTAGCCCGTCGTGTGAACCGGGACGCAGAAAGTAGTGGAAACTCTGCGCCTCTTCCTCTTCGAGGCACCATCCTGCTTAACTCCTTTCTCACCCCGCTTCTGCAAACTGAAACTTCGTCTGCACCGTGGATTTTGAGGATGGCTAACTTTCTAAATTTAGCCCCGGGTCTAAGTAAACCATGGACTCCTCCTTTGACCCAGGTTTTGAGGCTGCAATAGCAAACCATTAACTATCCACGCATTGGATTAAACCAGCATTCAGAGGGCTAATTTGCGGTTCAATTTATCCAGTGCAGATTAACGTTATTAACCAACTTTCCTCTGTCGCCCTCTCTCCACCATCACCCTCTTCATCCGGTCGTGGAGGCGGGAGGGCGGGGGAAGGTACTCAAACCTCGAGTAGCTTATAAGAGAGAAAGCGAAAAGCTGAAGAAAAGACGCACAATAAGGGAGGAGAGGTAGAACGAGAGGTTCACCTGCTGAATTTTCCGTTTTCTCAAAAAACAATTTTATCACTGGTTTTTTGTTTTCCTCCCGCAATTATGAAACCCAAACCGCGAACTTTTCAGTTCCGTACACCGGCACGTGAGCCCTAGGCAGAACCGACGGGGCTTACTCGTGAGTAGACCCGGATAACCGTTTAATCTATTCCTCGCACCTAACGGAACAGCTTCCTTCTCCATCACGCAGCCATCGATTATTAAACAATAACCAGGGTTCTATAGCAGCTTGAAGAGCCAAATTGTACTGTCACTGCAAGTATTTCACGACGCTTCGTATCCCCTCCTGCACCACCATCAAAAAAATCTGTTTTTAAGATCCTCTCCGTTCCTTAACCGCAATCCAACCGGCAAGTTATTGCTAAAATTGCAAGACTGGAAAATTGGAATTCGGGAAAGATTCACTTTCCTTTCTGGGGCATCAGAGATTGTCCCGAAAACTCAGGTGACCTTTTGTTATTTTCATAGAAAACCACAATACTTTTGCGCTGCAGGGCTTACACGGAAATAAGCCCCCTGGATAACAGTTGAAGCCGTTTTCGGACGAAGCTAACGTTAACCCTCAAACTGCCTGCATCCACACGACCTACTGAACTGCAAAGCGGGACGTGTTTTAGCTGAGCTATTATTGGGAACCCACCGAAGTACGGTAGTTAGTTTAGGATTCCGCCCAAGCAGGAAAACGGGGATTCTTTTTAATAAAAGGCTACTTGAGTGAACCATGGGTGAGAGAGACGTGGGAACACAACGCCAAGGCCGTATTTCCCAGACTGATCTAGCTCTTTATGCCGACGATGCGGGCGGACCAGCAACCTAAAAGGACCGGGCGGACAAAGAGATTGCGCGGTTCTAGGAGTCTAATTCGGATCAATGACGGACGATCAATAGCTGTAGGGGGCCCTCTCTTCTCCATATGGTCACCAACAGCTAGTGCGCATTGATTGGAGGAGGGGAGAAAGTAGGGGCTGCACTGGATCAGGAAGTTTATGGATTGTTCACCTAAACACAAGGCATAATCGATCCATTTTTAAAAAAATCCTTCCTGGGGCCTCGACCTCGTTCTCTATCTCCTCCCACCACCACCACCCTGAAAGAAACGCGTTTCTTGAAAAACTCCGGGGTTTCAAAGTGGGGTTATTCCAAATCCTCGGACTGGCCAATGAGACGATCCACGCACTTCCTCTGGGGAAGTTCCACCGGATCCGAAGGCTTGGGTCGCCTGGAAATCAGCGCATCTTCCCCACAAAGGGAATCGGAAAACCGTTCGACCCGGCGTCAAGCTGGTCCGGAAATCACCCTGGAGCGCGTTTATTCCAAGTCCAGCTTCTTTTAGGACTTGGACTACAGTCGCTGGCGCTTCGGTGCACTGCGCCGCTCTGCCTGTTTGCTCGACAGCGAAGCTCCCGAGGAGTTTGGGAAGCTGGCGCCAACGTTGCTACAAGATCGCAGCCTTGCCTTGCCCTTTCCCAGTTCTTATCTTCCTTTGCGCCGATCCTACGAACGTACTCAGAAGGAAATTTTCCTGGCTTCAGCCAACCTTCCGTAAACCAAAAGATTTTGGGGTGAGGCTTGAAAAGCCTGCTTGCTGTAGAGGTAAATCCCGCCACATTTAAAGGAGTTAAAATCATTTCAGGTATATTTGTCAAGCCGAGGGGTTTTTAAGGATTCATATAGGATGCAATAATCAAAGCACGAGTTTTGTGTTCAAGTTCAATAAAGTAACCAGGTTTGAATTGGCTTGGATGGATCCATCTCACCCTTTGCGAATGAACTTGGCTCGATTAAATGGGATCCGTTTCTCAATATCTGCATCTTAATTTAAACTTACAAACGGCTCAGAGGCTCAGAAGTGCTGAGTAAAAAAGCTCAGAACGCATTTTTTAAAACTCATATCGAAACTTAGAAGGAGAAACTTTTTTCTGTGAAAAACTTGGGTCGGGCAAGAGTGGTTTTAGGATCGGAAGAGGGATTTCCCGTCCCCCCCAGGGTCAGAAGATCAATTTTCCAAGCTAATGTGTTTAGGGCCAGGGACTAGTTTGGGAAACATTCTGTTTAAAATTGTCCTTGAACAATCTTTGCACCTCTTTTAAATGAGGAACATTTGTAAGGGAAGGGCGAGCTTCAAATCCCCTTGGAGGGGTGATCTAAAGCCGGCTGCCTTGGCAGCTACAGAGAGAATCGAGACAAATTTGATTTCTGGAGGAGAGACAAACAAATGACTACAAGCCAACTTCGGACAGGCGAGCAGTACAAAAAAAAAATCCGCTTTTTAAAACCCGTGTCAATGCATGAAGACTGGCTCACCGAGAGATTCCACGAGAGATCCGGGGTCTCTTATTTTCCTCCGGAGACTTGGGAGCCCCAGGTGGGAAGGCAGGAAGACCTGCCCGAACGTTTGAGGCTCCTCATACACGAGAGACCCCAGCACCCCCGGCGAAAGTTGACCCGGCCTTTTTCTTCTCCGAAGGGAGAACTTTACTCCTCAAGAGGGGAAGGAAAGGACTTGTGTCTAACTCCCTCGAAGAACAGACCAAACCAAACCCGGGGTATCCTGTCCCTGGCATCCAAGCGAAACTAATTTTTTTTTTTTTTTTTTGCATCAGCTCATCTCTGCGCCTCGGGGAGGAGAGGGAGTTTACCGGCCCTTTCTCGGCGTGCAATTCCCGCTGCATCTGACGCAAAACGGCGGCTTCTGCTTTCCAACCTCCCTGGCGCTCGAGTTGACCCCTGAGGAGGCCAGGGTACATTTGCAGGGCTCGCGGGGGCGGGAAGGAAAGTTTCCTAGTCCTTCTTGCAATCCTGCCGAAGCCCCCCTCCGCGGAGTCCAAAGGGTTTTTGTTTTACTCCGGGGTAAGACTTGATTTTTCACGGCAGCGGTCCAAGTTAAGCGTGCAGGAGCGAGCAGAGAGGTCAGTTTCCGTCGGCGGTGGTGGTTTTACGGCGTTTGGTTCCCGGCGGCGGCGGTTCGGAGCGAGAGAGTTCTGTGTTTCGGGAGCGTGGAGTTTTGGAGGCGATGTGTCCGTTGCCAGTCCTTCCTCACCAAGTCCGGATGGCTGCAAACTTTGAGGCTCAGTTCAAACTTCTCCCGCAGATCCCGCCGCTTTGGTTCTCTTCCTGCCACCGTTTAGAAGCGAATCTCCCCACGCAGAGCAGTACTTTTAATCCGTGGGGAAGGATGGCACGGGCGCTCTTGGCCTCACCGGGAGATGCCGGAGAAGCTGTGGCTGCGAAGGGCGATTCCGACGTCCAAGAAGTTCCTGAACTCAGCTGGCGTCGCTTCCCATCTTAAGGCTGAGAAGCCAGCCGAAATGGAGAGCAGGCCTGGGCGAATAAAGCGGCGCAGCAGAGCGGGCGTTTCCTGGCGTGCCATTCTTTTAGCCCAGTCTCAGTGGCCCAATTCACACAACACAGGAAACTCTCAAATGTGTACTTTCTTGGCTTTTTGACTCGTGGTGTTGTTCTGTGAAGCCCGCCAAGTTGTCATTTGAAAATCGCGCGGTCTGAGAATCCAGGCAATGTTGGTTGATTTTAGGAAGCAGGCTGGATTAAAACTGTCTTTGCTGTGGCTGTGTAAATTCAGCCTAAAGATCAACTGGCATCTGCTTTGCTTCCCTTTAGTCATTCACCCAGGCCAAGTTACTCAGCTTCCAGGCACCTAACACCCTCGAACTGGTGTGGCCTCAGAAGTGCAGAGATGACCCCAGTCTTGCACGAGTCTGATACCAAGCTCCCTTCCTTGGGTTTCCCTAGCCTAGCCCTTGCTCCAAAGGGTCCCGTTGAGTTCCCTTGTTTAGCACGATCTTTTCAACAGAGTTTGATTCGAACTCCAGTTCCAAGCACAACCGCTCTTCTCACACTGCTCTAAGCCATGGTTTGAGTATCACTGAATAAACCACCATTGGCTGGTATTCGCCAAGCATTCTAGCCACCCACCACCCTTATAGTGCCTCAGGTGTTGAGTTCACTCAACCCGCTAACCAAATCAATCACACGGGTTGAACGGGTTCGTGTGAATCAGGCCTAAATGTCATTCGCGGTTCAGCACTAAGTCTACCAAGCGTCCTTTCTCGTCTTCGAGAGGCATCCTGCCCACTTTGGATCGGGTTAGAATGAGCGAGTGCTGATCAGAGGGTGAGGATGGCGGGCAACCTCTTATCCCTCAAGCTTTAGGTCCTGAAATAAAGTGGGTAAATCGGGTTCTCGGTTCCTTTGCATGCTTTCCCAGATGTTTTCCAGATGTTCAATGCCAAGGATTTTAAAGGCTGGTGTGAAAATAACAATTCAGTTTGGAAGTTTGTAACTTCTGTTGGAGGGAGTTCTAACGAAGATCAATCAGGCCATCAGCCGTGGAGGCTACTACTATCCTATCCTAGAGACGTTTGCACTAGAAAATGAGGATCGCTGACGGGACGGGACGACTTTCTTAAGAGAAGGAGCTGGGCAGCATCACTCTAGGACTGTTTCCTCCAGAGTAAACCTGACGCCAGGCATCAGCTCCTAGAGAGCTGGTTTCTCAGACCTGCTGGAGAGTTCAGCATCCTGAACTCTCTGGAAAACGGGCCTCTTATTTTCCACTGCCCTTCACTGCCTACTGAAAAGTAAACCCCAATCCCACCACAAGACGACTTCCTCCGAAGTTGACTAGGCCAACACAACACACACACACACAACTGAAGCGCCGGGTCCTTCTTTCCAAAGGGTGCAGAGATCTCCCCAGACCAACTGAATGTGTGCAGGAAACAAATATAAACCGAGGAAGGGATCGGTCTGGGACCGATCATCTAAAGGGGCCCGAGGAGCAAAGAGGGCGACGGCACACACACGCACACACACCCCAAACAAGCCCAGCAGGAAGGGAACTCAGCCAGCTGCAAACTCAAGATTTGATCTACTTTACCTTTGAGCGGCGATGTTGGCATCCACCACGCCAACGTTCCTGACCCAAGAGCGGACCGGATCCATCTCCGACCCCAGCACCTTGTCTTTCAGGATCGGCCCTCTTCCTAACGTATCTTGGATCCCAAACATTTAAAAAGAAAAAAAAAGTTTATTCCAAAACCCAACTAGGCTTTCCGACGGGGGAGGAGGGGGGGGGAGCGAACTTCCAAACCAGCGCAACCCACACGGCACCGATTCCTCTCCGAGCGAGAGCAGCGAAGCGCCTCCGCCTTTCAGGACGGGTTGGAGGGTCTTTGGAGGGCCCTCCGGTCCTTTAAAAGCAAAACAAAAGGGAGCCTTAGACAAGAGAACGGAGCGGCGGCGGCGGCGGTGGCGGGAGGGAAGGAAGGCGGGGAGGGGGGGGGGGAGAGGCAGCGTTGCTTTGCGCCGGTCTTTCGATGTTTGCAAGCCGAAGTCGCGGAAATCTCTCAGCCGCTTCCGAGGCGGCGAATCATCTTCTCTGCAGCCGCTGCCGGAGGGAGAGAGCCGAGGAAAGAGTACGCATTGCCGGCGACGTCCTTTCCGCGGGAGCGCCGGTCACCTGCTCGCCGGGAGACACCCGCGGGTGGGCTTCGCGGCTGCCTAAATCCACGAGGCGAAGGAGAGAGAGAGAGGGAGACCGGCCGGACCGCAAAAGTGGGAGGGAGGCGGAGGAGGAGGAGGAGGGAGGGAGGTGGGGGGAGAGAAGCCGGGTCAGTGGCAAAAGGCAGAGGCGAAAACCGCTGCCAAAGAAACGCGGAAGAAGAAAACGGGGGCCGACGCGCGGCCGCTTTTCCCGCACCGAGTTCACCATGAATGGGTTACGGCCAGGGGAGCGAAAGTCCTGAGGGAAAGGGGCGGGGCGGCCTGGCCGAGGAAGGCGCGCCGATTTGCATAGGCTCGCCCCATTGGAGGAGGAAGAAAAAGGAGGCGGCCGACGCGCGACGTTCCGGCTTTAACCTCAGGAGGGGGCGGGGCTTGCTCGGGTTGGGGAGGGGCGGGGCTGCCCAGGAGCCTTGGACGCGCCGGAGCAGCGGGTGGACTTCAGTCGCTTGGCCGAGCGCTTTTTCTTTCTTTCTTTTTTAATTTTTTCTTTCTTTCGTTCTTTCGTTCTTTCGTTCTTTCTCTCTTTCGTTTTTCTTTTCTTTCTTTCTTTCTTTCTTTCTTTCTTTCTTTCTTTCTTTTTGCATTTCGGCTTGTTCAACTGACCCGGGTCGAAGGGAGGGAAATGGGAGTGGGGGTGTGCAGGGGGCGTGGGGGGGGGGGCAGGAAGGCAGCTTCGTTTCCAGCTGCGTCTCAACGCAGCGATGGAGCACCCCAAAGCCTTCCAGCTTGCAGAGAGGGTCGCTTCCCTACTTCCAGCTGCTGCTCGGGAATTGCAATCTGGGAACGAAGACCAGCGGGGGAGAGGGGGGGATCGAACTTGTGACACCTTTCCGATGGATTCCCTGGGGTCTCGCTGCCATCGCTCTGACTGTGAAGCCCCCTTTTCCAGTCGCTCTCCGCCGCTTGGCTGGGCTCGGGGAGAAAAGAGAAACGGGAGGGTGTGCGTGTCCGTGTGTTTTAATAAAGTAAAATAAAATAAAACAAGGGGCGAATTCACAGCTGGGCTTATACGCGAGCGGCTTCTTTCTGAGCGATTCCCGGTGGTGGAAAAGGCGCCCTGGTTGAACCTGCTCTGCTTGTTGGTTGACCGCTTTCCACAGAACTAGGTGTCTGGCTGGGGGAAACTTCCGAGGAAAAGGCGAGGCGTGTTCAAAAACTGTAACCTTTCACACGGACCATTCCTACAGAGAACGGGGCACAAGCCGCGCGTGCAAGCACTCTCTTTATAAACTTTTATTTTATTTTTTTGAAAGCCAGGAGAGATACATTAAGCGCAGAGCGTTTCTTGCAAACCTTGTCTCCTCGTCCGTCGGTCCGTCTTGCTGGAAAGAATAGCACGTCTGTATATCAATGCAAAGCGGCTTGGTGTCAGTTCTCTCTCCCCCCCACCCCCACCCCCACCGCGGCACTCCCCCCACCCCTGGTCCTTTTGTACGGCGATCTGGGAGGATAGACCTGTCTCTGAAATCTATCTAGCACCGACGCGAAAAACAGATTTCAAGACAATGCATGCAAATCTGGGCTCAGGAAGCCATCTGCCAGAGTTGGAAATCAGATGTTCCCCAGTTAAAGTGACAGAGCCCGAGTTCCCTTGTCTGTTTTAACTCCCTCATCCTTCTAAGGTACCGCGAAATTCCCTGCCTAATCCAACGCCTCGCTTCCAGCTTTTCCTTCATCTATTTCGAACTGGCTGGAAAACAAAACAAAACAAAACATGGAAAAGTTTGCTGGCATCTGCGTTGAGATGTTTTTTTTAAAAAGCCTAATCAAGAATCAGATTAAAACTCTTTTATGAATAAGGCTTAGGCGGCGAGGGGCTAGCGGAGGGGGGGAGGGGGGATCTGGCTTTTGGTCAAAAATGAAGCGGTGGGGGGGAGGGCAGGACAGAAAAGGAGAGGTCTAAATTATTGTGTCCGCGTTGGTGACAGATTTGACAGGAGAGGACCACATAAATCCGAAGGCCTTGTGTAGGGAAATGCTCAGTAATAACCTTTCCTTCCTTCAAACCTGACACTCGCCCTATATATACTATTTTTTGTAGTCAACGCAGAGGAAGTGAACATTAATTAAAACAATAGATTCTGTACCGTGACAGAAATATAAACTTTTATTTGCACAAATCCACACTCAGAGGTGCGCTCATGGATCTTTCAAGGAGATGAACAGAACTGAAGACAACGCACACATTTTAAAACCCTTCTTCCAGTATTCATTGATCTGCCTTTCAGAAATGTGGGCGCCCGCCTTCTCCTTTCCCTGAGACTTCTTCAGTAGGTTCCCTTCGCCTCCTCCAAGGTCAGGATGAATGACGGGCCCCAAAATGTTAATGATCTTAGGCGATTTTGTTCCATGGATATTTCTTTAAATCTGACCCGAAAATTCTCCAGCGGTGAGAATAGCTGCTTGGTAGCCTTTGGGGAGCCCCTGGCAATTGCTTCCATAGAAATGAGAGGACGCCCTTCAAGCAAACTTGCTAGGAGTCAGTTTAGAGTGGGAGATTGCGCTCCCAGAGATCGGGGAAGCCAGAAGCATCGAAAGCTCAGGGATGACCAACGCCATTCAACGATTGTTGTGCCTGTTATTAATAAATGAAGATAGGCTATGTGACCACAATGAGAGTTGGGTGACTCTACCAGAAAGATTTTCTGGAGTGGCCTTTTGGCGTTGTTGGCAACCAACAAAATATCTCCCCCCCTCCCCCTCCTTACACACACAAACACACACACACAGTTCAATGTTTGGAATTTCTGGTGGCAAGCCCGGCTTCTTGTCAAGCAATGCTGGCTTGATGATGCCTCGTACACCTCTACTGAAGAAAAGGCAGGAGCCATCTCTTCCAAATCAGCAGGACTGCTGATCAGGGGGCCAATATGGAAAGATGGAGAGGAGGATGCTACAGGGATCTTCAACATTGTCATCCTGGTACTTTCAGGTATTGGGGCAGATCTGTTGGCATTGGAGATGGAGGCCCCACAACATCAGAGCCACATCCTAGAAGGGAATGTCCTGAGACTGACTTCGGAGCAGAATTGAATAACCAGGAAGAGAATTTCGTCCTTATTTTGAAGATCTTGGCTTGCTACGGAAGGAGGAAAAGGCTCTGTGGAGCAGATTCTAAAAGTAACTAAACTAAATTTTAAAAAAGCACCACGCACACAAATGCAGCACGGAGACCCCCTCATCTCAGCCATCCCCCACAAACGGGAAAGTGTGGTTCTTGGGGGGGGGTGGAGTGAGCCCCAAAAGTCAGACTCAGTAGGATCTCTGACCAAGTGGGCTACTAAAATGAGAGATAAGGGGAAGACGAAACAAACCTTCAACTTGAACGAAGTGAAGAAAAGGAAGGAAGGAAAGAAGGAAGGAAGAAAAAAGTAAGTAAGGAAGGAAGGAAGGAAGGAAGGAAGGAAGGAAGGAAGGAAAGAAAGAAAAAGAAAGAAAGAAAGAAAGAAAGAAAGAAAGAAAGAAAGAAAGAAAGAAAGAAGGAAGGAAGGAAGGAAGGAAGGAAGGAAGGAAGAAAGAAGGAAGAAAAAAAGAAGGAAGGAAGGAAGGAAAGAAAGAAAGAAGGAAGGAAGGAAGGAAAGAAAGAAGGAAGGAAGAAAAAAAGAAGGAAGGAAAGAAAGAAAGAAAGAAAGAAAGAAAGAAAGAAAGAAAGAAAGAA